ATCTTTGTGCTTAAAAGCCTTAAATGTGGGAGAGAAAAAAAAAACTTTTTCAGACAGTTTGAAAGGCGGAGCAAGTCGCCTCAGCCGGCCTTCAACTGCATCCGTCACACTTCCTGTCGGCCATAACTTCCCATAACAAGCATTTGAACATGAATCCGTGCATCGAGTGTCGAGGCTTTATTGTGCACCAAAGGAGGCCTCTGTGGGTGTGTGGAGGCGCCTTGGCAGCAAACGGTCAACAGGAGGTATTGTCTGGGGGGTGAGCCGGCGCTCTTTCAGCCGGCGGGGCCCATTACCACGGTCAAGATGCTCGCGGCCCCCCCTATCTTAAAGGCGATGTTACATTTTATTATTTCTCTGGACACTTTTCTGGCGAAGCCTCAGAAAGAACGATCCTGAATAAAAAGGGGGAGCTTTCTGTGTTTCGCGGCAAGCGTTTTGGACCCAGTTTCCAGGGTACAACCCCGGCCGCTCCGAAACATTTGAAAGTCAAGTGTGTGGAGAGCGGAGAACAGAGACCGGATGCGGGAGTCCTCCTCCACGGTGTGATTTCTCCCGTCACCCCTCCCCGAACCGCTGGGGTCTGGTGAGATAGATATCCGTCACGGTCATTGTGTGTCGCCCCACCCCTGATTATAGTCCTGCTTTTTGAACAATAGCTTGTTCTGCATGCCGGACAAATAAAATGAATACACCCGACGGCAGAAACAACTACAGACGCCTCTTGGTTGTGTTGTCTTGTTTTGGCAATACGAAACATGCTCTCTCCGAGTCGGCAATAACGGGCTTTAAGGCCTGTAGTGTGAATTCACTAGAATACTAAACGGTCTTTTGCATGTTAAGGTTTGGTTTCCTCCCACACAAACGCATGCCTGCAATTCCAGCGGAACAAAGACATTCACGAGGGGTTTTGCATGGCTTTTGGGAGTAATATGAGCTCCAGCGGCATCTTTAACGGGATATAATGACAGTGCCTCTGGATCCTCCGACACACCTGGTCCGTCTGCGTGGAGATGCGGAGCGGCGGCGGTGGCTTTATGAGCGCAGTGATGTTCTTTGGCGATGTTGAAGACGGTTTCATCCTTTTGTGCACAGAAATACACAGTCAAACACTCAACCTAGGAAAATGATGAGAACCAAATCGATTTACCTTAGTCGAGTCTCAGGACTCCCCCCCCCCCCCACACGCTCTCTCTCTCTCTCTGTCTCTATCTCGCTCTCTCGCTCTCCCTCACTCTATATCGCTCTCCTCCCCACACTGTTGTGTTGAGCTCCTCTCGGATGATTTGACGTAACATAGCGTAGCGCTACCGCCGTGTTGTTGGACTCCGTGTCTCTCGCATCTGTTTATTTATACTACTCCCTCTCCCCGGGCTGATGTTTCTGGAGATAACTTTCTATATAATACACACGCATGTATTACTACAAGATGTAACTAAACCTTTTAGGCCATGTTCATCTTCTATGCTGTGTTTCACTCTCTTGAGTGATATCAAATGAATTCCTGATCCGCGTCTGCGTCGACAAAAACAAAAAAGAAACTAAAACTAAAATGGACGTCATGTCCCGGTCAGGAGTCCATGGGGCTTTTTAAGCCCGTCCCACGTCGGTCTGTTTATCAAATCCAGACTCCCACAATATCCCGGCTCTCCCCCCTCGGAGGCACACTTCAAGACGGACATGTGACCTGATAGAGGGGTAGCTGTGTCTTAACACACAGTCCTACACAGCGGCGGCCAGGGGGCACCGAGTGTGTGTGAGCCGGTGTGTTATTTCAGCGTGGCGAAGTTGCTCGCAGGGGGTTTTAAACTCGCTGTGAAATCCACTCATTTCCACTCATCACGGGGAAAAAAAACAAAGGAAGAAGAAAAACTCCCACTTAACTGTGTTCAAGCCAAGGAGGAGGAAGCATTGTGTGTGTGTGTGTGTGTGTGTGGGATTTCTCATGTATTTTCCTTCCTATTTCTGATTGGCAGCCCCCCCGAGTCGACAGCCAGGCTTTCACCCGGGGTGATAGACTGACCTGCAACGCAACGTCGGCTGGGGGGGGGGGGGGGGGGGGGGCTCAGAGCCGTCGGCTTCTGACCCGTCTTTTACCTCAGTGGAGACAAGATGATGAAACATGGCTGCCTTTCCGTGTCTGCGTCAAGTTGCATAATCGACCCCGCCGGCTGTACAAGAGGGCGATTGGCGGGGCGGGGGCGGGGGGGGGGGGGGGGGGGCTTCAGTATCTGAGGAATGACTGAGATGTAAACACAGACACAGAGCCTGATGAGTAACGCACGCATCAAAGTATCAGACGGCCGATTCTTTGTAAGCGCGTTTCTCTAATTCACAATTGTCGGTCCGGCGGGGCTTCCTCTCTCGCTCCGAGCAGAACCGGAATATACGATTTCCCCGAGCCTAACGAAAGGAGACAAAGCGAAGCAACTGGGATATGCTAATATCCCATAATAGAAAAGCTCTATAGGCTTACTTAGTCCTAACCGGCCTCTGGGATATAAAATAAAGCATCGCCCGGTGAGACACGCACGGCTTTTGACATATCTCGAACCGTAATGTGGGAGAGAGAAAGGGGCAAAGAAAATATCCCTTTTGATTAGAAACTGAGGAGAAAGTGAGTCGGTTCATCCTCGCAGTGAACTGCGCCCGGGCACAAGAGTCGTATTCACTCATAGTTGACTTAACCACGGCTTGCCTCGCGTTGCCTGTTGCAGAGGCTTGACCCAGAGCTGTTTGGATATACGGTTTGAGGTGCGGGAGGGGAGGAGGCGCACATGGATATTGCCAAGCTTTTTTTTCTTCTTCTTCTTCTTCTTCTTCTTCTTCTTCTTCTTCTTCTTCTTCTTCTTCTTCTTCTTCTCCCTAAGTTCTTTCTCCTTAGCAGCAAAGGGCCCATTTAATGTGCGTCGGGGGTTGATATTTGTGTGTTAAACATTTTTAATCATGACCTAGAGGAGGAGCGGCCGCACTGCTGCTGTCCTTACAGGCAGACATTCAGCCCCTTTGACCAGCCCCGGGTTTTATATAGAGCAGAATGCAGACTCGCTCACCGCCGCCTTCTCAAAGTAGAAGTAAATGGTAAATGTTTGCTCTGCAGGACATGGTGGAAACGCATTGAACTGACCCTCACCCTTTCTCACCGCTCAGGATATAACACCACCAGCAATATGTATATATATATATACTGTATATATATATATATATATATATATATATATATATATATATATATATATAGTGAGACTGTTCCAAATATACGAGAGCATAAATCCATTACTGGCCATTACTTTTTTACTATACCAAGTTCCCATTTTTCTTTTTATAATCTATCTTTCTACGCGCCGCGGACCTTTCATATTCCCTTCTTCGACTCTTTTTTCCCCCCCTCTAATGGCTTCTTTCAAGAGCTGGGGATGAAAATGGCAGGTAAGGATGACGAAGGTTTGCGCATTTTTGCACACATTTTTTAAAGCAAACACACCTTTGAACAACACCGTGGGTGAAAGGTGGCAGTGTCCCGACTCAATCCGGCCTTTTTTTTTCTTTTTCTCCGCAGTCGCAGTGCCCTCCACATTTTTTTTCTCCCTCTCTCTCTCTCTCTCTCTCTCTCTCTCTCTCTCTCTCTCTCTCTCTCTCTCTCTCTCTCTAAGGAAAGCACGTTTATACCGTGCTCCTTAAGAAGTTTAGACTGAAAGAGACTGTTTTTGAAAAACCTGGAGGCCTTCAGCTGAATCCCATATGTTTTCTTTGGCACGGCGCATACTGTCTGCTTTCGCCAGCGCCGATGCCGGGTATATAAAACTGATGGAACACAGGGAGAGTCTTGATCCTGTTTTTTTAGCTTTCTATTTAGAGCTGGTGGCACGTCAGACACCTGTCATTGTCTGGTCCGGGTCCGCTAAGCCGCCCCTTTTATCAGCCAGAACTAGATTTCACACATAGTGTCACCCCCTCCCCTCGAGCCGGCCGAGCGCAGAGCGGTCGCTGAGCAAAGCGTTGTTTTGTTGCGTTTCTGATTAGGTTTCATTTAATCTCCTCCAGCATTATGAAATGGCTCAGGGGTTACTGTGTTTCGTGGGGACTGTATATGTCTTCATGTAGCATGTAGCATTAGCCTTTATTTTAGCCTTCAGCACTATGACTAATGTGAGTGTAGTTTACTGTAACTTGTGAGCTTCCTGACATTTGCATGAGAATGGTGATTTGTGCTCATGTGTTTCTCGCCTCAGCATATCACACCTGCCATTTTTCTTCCTGACAACCTTGAGGAAATTCTTCGGGGACCTAATTAGCAGTTATCTTGGCCAGTGTTATTTTTTTCTACATTTGATATTTGGTTTGGTAACTTTGAGACATGCAAGGGAAGAGGAATTGGGGAATTGTTAGAGTTCAATAACAACGTATTTTCCGATGGAGAAGAGTCCTTCGACAGCATTTTGCCGGGTGCTTTCTGTCAACACGGGTTTAAAACAAATATGAATCTCATAATCTGTGGCTGGGGAAATATTCAGTAAACATCATAGTTATGATGTAATAATAACTTTCTAGCAATAGATTGACAGTGTGATAGATTTTAAGTCTTATAATATGAATAATAAATCATAGTGCGCGGGATACAGCGCAGTTTTCTTTCATAGTATTTTTTTTTTTGGGAAAGTCATGAAGGAAATCGAAAAACAAACTTGGCCAGCATCTGTTGCTGAATATCTGATTGTTCTTTATTTAACATCAATGAATATCTGATTGGTTGTTGTTGAAAAAGTGAAAAGAGACGGAGACAAGAGCATTTAGCTCTAATATGGGCAGTCAGCCATGTAGCTAAATGATATATCATTATTCTAGTTTGTTTCTCCCCCGCACATGTGAGGATCATTAATAACAACAAGGCAGAGGGTGCTTTTTATAATGTAATATATAATAGCCGCCAGTAGGCGGATGCTTTTATCCAAAGCATCTTAGAGTACCGTGATTGTGTACATTTGCAGCGTAAGCATGGGTGGTAGTAATTAGTGGGAATCAAACCCCGGACCCTGGCGACCTTAACGCCATGCTCTGCCGGTTGAGCTAGTCAGGACCACAATGCATTTTTGTATTCATGCGATAATAATAATATTTATGCAATAATATGCAATAATGTGCAATGCATTAATATGAAATGCAATATTACCGCATTAACATAATTACTTATTCATTCAGAATCAAACCACCAAATCATTAAATAATTTTAAAAAAATGGTAAACAGTAAATAGACTGCATATATGAAGGTATTTTCAAACCCGAGGCCACTCAAAGCGCTTTTAACATTTTTGCCTCACATACACACATTCATACGCAGACGGCGGCGTCAACCATGCAAGGTGACAGCCAGGTGTGTTGCTCAGGGACACTTAGCAGACTTAACATAAGTACATTTGTCAGTAGAAAGTAGAATAACAATACATCACTGTCAGTACAGCGAGGATGTCCATAGAAGTTTCTAAGTGCACTATAATTGCTAGGTTTAGCCATCCTTTCTGGTGCACAGCATGGATAGCAAGGGTAAGATGCTATACAATGCTAAGTGCTATTCTATTGCCCAGAGATACAAACATAAAAACTCCCACTTTATGTATTTATTTATTTATTTTCAGGGGTGGGGGGCTATGGGAAGGGGGGGGGGGGGGGTAGGTGGAGGATGGAGGCTATATTTGCCCTGTTATTGACTTGAGTTCATGAAGGCTTAGGCCTTCTCCTGATTGGAATGATTGGCTTTCGGCCGGTACTGCAAGGCTTTACCGCCTTGTACCGGTCGACAATGGCTGACAAATGACTTGCAGACTGCAATATCCCTCTCCAATGCTATTGACGGGGAACCAATCACAATGATCTATTATCTAAACTCCATCGGGTTTTTCTGTCTTTCTCTTCAGTCTCCAGTCTTGCTCTAACTTGACTGCTGATTGGCAGTCCTATATCCTATGATTACAGACAAGGATATATTCAGATATTACGTGATTATTCTGAATTAGCGGTAAACGGTTTGAATCCGCCTGTTGAGTGACGCACGTCTTAACGTCAAACGATTGCTGCGCTTTTGTTGTATGCTGAAAAAGGTCGGTAAAATTTGGTCACGTGAAGCTCAAGACCAACCCTCCTAAATGATCGTCTGATTATGAATATGTATGATTATGTTTTTAACAGTAGACAAACAAAACTAAGCGTGTGATGACTGAAGCGTGACCCATTATCTCTTGTAGAGGGAAGCGTACAGCGCTTGTCTGTACACATCTAGACGTACGCGCCGTCTTTTTTCACACCTGTCTGTTTTTGCGTGTGCTGTTTAAGGTTGAGTCACACGTGCGCAGCGGGAAAACACCCCGAGTGTCAATCAAAGAGAAAAACTGCGTGTTAGTTAATGAGAGCTAGCCGGTGGTGGCGGCAACGCACACGCCGCTTCGATAATCCACTGACCTTGTAGCCTATCGGGATGGCTGTTGGCTTTGGCATATTATAATTGACAGGTGGGAAGGGAAATGGTTTCCCCCCTGCCCTCTTAGTTAAATCCTCGTGAAGCCCACCAGATGTTCTATAATATGGATTTTCTTTATCTGAGGATTTCCACACGGGTCCAAAATTACTATTTTTACCTGCCAGTGTAGTGGAAGAATCAACCGGCCAAGCGATTGTTTTAATACTGTATGTAATCCTTCATTTACCTGCCAAATGGTCAAATTACCATTGGCTGGTGGCAGGTGTTCATTTTGGACCCTGCACACCGGTGCAAGGTAGTGCGAAAAATAACGAGGGTGGGGTGGGGTGGGTGGGGGGGCTTGAACCTCACCTCACCTCGCCACATTCAATAATAGCTCAACAGTTTCAGCAGCGCTCAGCAGCCTCAGCGTTAGTATGACACACACACACACACACACACACACACAGGCGTGTGCACACACACACACACACACACACTGCACAGTGATTCCATCATACCTTATTGGCTGATATGGCGAGACAGGGGTTAGCCAGGTTTGTCTGGCAGCTTTTCTTCAGACAGGGCTGTACGGTAGACAGGGCAGAACCTAATCCCTGTTCTCATCGCCCCGGACATCATAACTGTCACTCAGCCGTCATTTGTTCCCGTTACTCTCTCACCCCTCACCGGTGCGAGGGGATACCACCGCTGCCACTATCCATTCCAGACTACCGACCGCTAACGGGCTGCGGAGAGTTAGCGGGAACAGAGCCCATAATGGGTCAATGCGAGTGAGCTCTCAGTATAGTAATTTCCTATAAGGTCAACCTGTGCTATCCAGCAGGGATTGGAGGAGGGGCAGAGTTCACCGTCTGATCTTTCGGTGCAGTCGCCCTTTTCATGATCCTCCGTCTCTTATCTCTGGAGATCTGTCTGGTAATCATATTAAAAAGGGTTCCCCTCAGGGAACGCGTGGAGGTGAAAGTATGACGGTAGGTGAAAGTATGAAGGTATGACAGGCAGCGACGAACCAGCCACCTTAATGCGATCAATATAAAATCTCGAAAACATGAAAGTTGCACATAAAGAGGATATTATTGACGAATACATGTGACATTTCTCATTTCCTGACCCAAAGGTGACCTATTGAATCGAGTGAAATGTATTTATCCTCCTTCCTTATATCCTCCCACAAGCACAAGAGCTCTCTCGTCAACATTGCATCATACTCATAACACTGCAGTTATGGGTCTGTGTGTTATGTGTTAGACGGTCACATGAGCACACATAGGCGATATGTTGAGGACTGTTGACATGGACAAAGAGGGTTGTTTACATGTGTATCTGCACTGAACTTGGTCATATTTGCAGATTCAATTCTCAGATCGTTTTTTTTTTTTTTTCGGTCTGGACTTTCCAACGTTCATTTGAAGGCGGTGCAAGTAGATTTGATCTGGGACTGAGAGAGTGGACAATGAGCTCTGTGTGTGTGGATAAGGCATGGGCAATATATATATATATATATATATATATATATATATTGCCCATGCCTTATCCACACACACAGAGCTCATATATATATATATATATATATATATATATATAATATCGATATTGTGATATGAGACTGAGATAAGATTTTAGATACCGTATCGTGATGTGGCATAAGTGTTGTCTTTTCCTGGTTTTAAAAGCTGCATTACACTAAGCTGATGAAAACAATTAGAAAATACTATAAAAATAAGTACTTTTCATTTGTCAATAATTCACACAGGAGTATACAAAAATAAGCTTTACAGTGTGTTTATTTTATATGGACTATTTATTTATTGGATTACCACAAAACATGCTATATCATGATATATATCGTTATCGAGATATTAAATGACCGATATCAGGATAGAAGATTTTGGCCCTAGTGTGGATTGGTTGCAAAAGGCCCATAATGCACCTGCAGTTCCCCCAGTGAGTCTCACTGGGGGAACTGCAGCAACACTAGATGGACCAACATGTTCTTGGACCAGACCTTGAACTTCTTGCACTTCTTTTTTTGGATGTTTTATAACAAAAACAACAACAACAACGATAACAGCTTGGTTCAGTCAGAATATCATGACACTTATTTTACTCTTTCATTTCCTGCTGTCTAGGTCAGGAGTGACGTGAAGAGATGTTGTGAGTTTACATTGGAGTGGATCATCTCAATTAGCTCCCTTTTACCATCTTACCATCTGCTGAAGCAAACCAGACATGAAAGCATATGACAGACGTTCTCAATTACACTCCAATTAGCATTTCTTCTGACATTTTTGGGAAGCATATTCAAACACGCTTGAGACTTTTTTGGGTCGTTGCAGACAACGCATGTCAATCTCACAAAGTGGTTCTGCAAATGTAGTAACGGTGTTGCCAACTCAGGTGTATGTGTGTGTGTGTGTGCACAAGATCTGTGTGTGTGTGTATGTGTGTGTGTGAGTGTGTGTGTGTGTGCGTGTGTGTGTGTGTGTGCGTGTGCGCGCTAGATTATGTCTGCCAACATGAGCTTATCTCGAGTTTCAGCTTGAAAACAATTAAAGCTTATCTAATCATAAATCTCTGCATCGCTGTTCGCGCAGACAGTGACTCATCAAACCGCAGCTTTCATTACCTGCTCAGTAGACCGTCTATCTGTAACCTCCTGGTTACTCTACCAACAAGCTACAGCCATGTGTGTGAATGTGTGTGTGTGTGTGTATGTGCGCGTGTATATATTTGATGCTAATAGATGATGTCATACTCTTAACTAGCTTGCTGGCTCTTTCGCCCCATTCTTGATAAGTAGTTCTGCGGTGAAGCAGGGACAGAGCAATAATACTCTTAATAAGCGGCAGGAATAATATCCATTCCCCGAGAGCGTGAGTGATATTACGTATGCGGCGCAACGCAGTAAGGCATTGCCGTCGCCTACGGACTGGAGTAGAGTAGAGTGAAAGAGTCGCTTGACATAAAAAAAACATCACAAAAAAACATGAGAGGCATTTGACACAATAACAGAGTAGTTAATTCACATACAGAAAAAACCTCTTCAAAAGTTAGAAGAGACGTTTGACTATACATTCGCTCATTGCACATTGCTCTATTGCAAAGATTCAGCGTTCGAGTTCAGCGGCTCAACGGAGGCTGAAACAAAGGACAGCTTCACGTCAAGAGCGGAGCTTGAGAGATGTAAAACACACACCCCTGCGGCGAGGAGCGATGCTGGGAGACGTGACTGTGCTGCCGGCCTCCTGTCACCGTTCCACGTGGGGCCGTATTGTTCCTCACTCCCCCTTTCTTTGATACAATAATTGCAGGCTCTCGGAAGATAAACAAACGCCCCGCCGAACCGGCGTAGGCCTGCTGCACATTACACCGTGCTTAGGAGACACAATGTATATTATGTCTTTACGTTTAGCTTTTTTATTTATTTATTTTTTCGGTTAAAGCCTGCCAAGGTTTAACCACCGCTTCTGTGACAGAGAGACATAGTAATACTGAAGTAATGCCATGGTTGCAGCGTGGAAAGAAAAGCCAGGGTGGGTGAATCAGCGTCGTGTGACTATAGTCTTAACTACTGTTTACTTTACGTAATTATGT